GGACAGCCAGAGACTTGATACAAGCTGAGGAAGTATGATGAAATTGATTTCACAGGGTGTGAAAGAGTGGTTACCTGGAAGATATAAAAGACTCCTAGTGATGTCAACACAAGTTCTCATTAGTGACTACTAATTTATATTGCAGTAAATCTGACTTATTCTATAAGCAGGAGAGTTCTTAGGCATTGAAAGAGAAAACAGAAAATTTCATGTAGGATTATAATTATGCTGAACAACTAGGGCCAAAATAAGATCAAAGAACTTGGGTGGATTGGAAGAAGTGGTTTGAAATAACATATGAAATTAACCATTAAGGAGAAAGGTGAAGAAAGACACATACTGATAGATTTGAAAAAAGTAGAGATGAATACAGGGATGAAAATGCTAATGAAATCATTGCATTTTATGTCAGATAATAAAAATATTCCAGCATTAAAATGCAACGAGTAAGCTCCAAATGTGATGGTGTCCACAAGGGAAGGGAAACTTTAATAGCACATTTTTGAGATAAATGATTTGAGCTTTACCACAAAGATCAAGATATTATTATGTTCTATTATGCTGTGTTATTATAATATTCATATTATAAGCTTCATATAAGGGTTCTTCATAAAGTTCATAAAAAGTAATATGGGTTCAATGTACTAGTACAACATGTTAGACTACCTGTTGGAACAATTGTATCACATATTAGAGTGCCTGGTCTCCAGTCTCACCTCTGCTTCTAACCCCACTTCCTGCTAATGCACATCCTGGGAGACAGAAGACTAATGAGTTTGGATCCCTGACATGCATGTAGGAGACTAGGACAGAGTTTCTGTTTCCTGGCTTTAACCTGGCACATCACTGGCTGTTGCAGGAATTAGGGAAAGAACCAGTACATGTAACAAATTCATTCTCTCTCTCTCTCTGTCTCTCTGTGTGTCTCTCTCTCTCTTTCTTCTGTTGCTCTGCCTTTCAAACAAGCAAAAAAAAAAAAAGAAAAAGAAAGAAAGAGAGATGGTTATTTTGGCAGAATTAGAAATCCATATATAGTTTTTTTGTTAATATGCATTTCCATGACTTTTTGAAGACAAAATGTACAGACTTTAAAAAGACATTTTTGATAAGAAATATTTAATGATTTTGACAAAGGGCCGTCTCATGGCAGTGGTTGCCTGAGGCACAGTGCTAGAGGAGATATTTGGAGGGGAGAAGGAGAAGACAAAGAGCTGTGTGTCCCAGACGTAAGAGGATCATGCATAGGGATGCTGATGTGTAAGTAGATTGAGGTTCATGATCATGATTATGCATGAAATATGAGAATGCCTAGGAAGATACAAGCAAAATGAAAAGAAGAAAACTGAACTTTAATAGGACTACTAAAGATGGAATAGGTTTGAAGAGAATGATCTTAATACTATTGTTCTGAATCATCAGGTGCAAATTAATAAGTCATACCTGGAAATTTATGCTAAGGTACTATTTTTATTCTACAAACTTGTGACCACTGTATGATACCATACTATATTATATTGTGATACAATGTAAGCAAGATACAATGAGTTTTGATATTCACTACCACTGATCAATAATAATTATGATTCAACTGACAAAGCTAAAAAAAATTTCTAGTCTAACAAATAGCATGGCTTTCTTTGCTTTCTGTTATACTGTTGTTCCCTGTAACTTCTGATGTTTCATGCAGTTTGGTTCTTTTTTCTTTTTTTTACAAGATTAATAGAAATATATAAATGCATAGGAAAAGAATATGCTACAAAATAAGATGGAAAGCATGGCTTCACTTTTGAAAAACAAATAAAAATATGATGGTATATCCAAAAATCTATACGGTTATATACCAAAATATCAACAGGTTTTACTTCTGTTCAGTGATCAAATATTTTTATTTATTTATTTGAAAGGTAGAGTTACAGACAGTGAGAGAGACAGACAGAGAGAAAGGTCTTCCTTCCGTTGGTTCACTCCCCAAATGGCCGCTACTGCCAGAGCTACGCTGATCCGAAACAAGGAGCCAGGAGATTCTTCTGGGTCTCCCATGCAGGTGCAGGGGCCAAAGCACCTGGGCCATCCTCAACTGCCTTCCCAGGCCACAGCAGAGAGCTGGACTGGAAGAGGAGCAACTGGGACTAGAACCCGGCACCATATGTGATGCCAGCACCACAGGCAGAGGATTAACCTACTGCGCCACCGCTCCGGCCACCTCTTTTTGTATGTTTTTTTAAAAATGGTTATTTACTAAACCAACAAGAAAAACAAGTCTTGTTGAAGCAGCCATTAAGTGCCAGGAGTTAAAAATGAAAAAGCCACCCCAGGAGCCCAGTGGTTAAGATGTGAAACCCAGGGCAGGGCCAGTCGCAGTGAGAGGTGAAGTCCAGAGGTGGGACATCGCTCTAGCCTTTCACACTGGACTGCTGCTTCCTAGACTGTGTTCTTCTATAGCCAATGTTCTCAGCGTATTCAATGGGACTCTACATTTTAGCTGAGAACAGCAAAATGACACTAGCCAGCCCGGTTTTGCATTGCCACAAAATTTAATTATTGTGTAGTTTTCTACTATACAAAACAGAAGTGAAGTGTTCCTACTTCAAAAAACCCTAACTGACCAAATCACTGACTGCTATTTTTGGACTTCTGTCCACTTTCAATTTTCACTATTTTTTGTTTCACATTCTGGAAGAAGTAACTTTTTCCAAACAGACTAGCATGATTGCAGGCTGAGCACTGTATAATGGCTTTGCCTTAAGTGATACTTGGTCCTGCCTTCCAAGTACTCTGCAGAGTCAGAAGGATTAACCAACATCCAACCCACCACGAAATGAACTCTAAACTGAGGAGAATGCCCATTCTGCTTCTTCAAACAGGCTTTGTTGTAAGTCATAAATGGAAAATAGCACAACATATCTATAAGATCATCAGTCTCAAACTTGAACATCCTATATCAATCCCACTCAATATCCCATAGGCCATGCTGTTAACAAAAACAATTCTGAAAAAGGTTTATACTGTTAAAATCAGGAAGATGTAAAACGGATGCCACCTTTATTCTCAGGTGCTTTCTAGGTAATACCTTAGAATTGATACTTAATAGTTTCTCGTTCATTTTAAACTGAAAGGTCTACGATTTGTGACCTATGTTTAAAGTTTGTGGCATGCTAAAGCAGCATTTTCCCTCCCTGATAGGTGTTCTGTGGGTGAAGTCTGCTACAAGTTAGCAGTTACTTGAGAACTTCCTTTGTTGTTTTTCACCAACTGATTCACAAAATATCAGACAATTTTAGATTTTTTTAATCTAAAATCTTGCCGGACATTCTTACAACCAGATTATCAACTGTATGATTTTATTATTCCAGTGCAACAGTTTTACATTGTTTCGTACATAGGATTCTCCTACAAAACATTCAGATTGATTCTGCAAATGGGTGAGTAGCAGTATGTTCACTTACTTGCCTCTTTCAAGTAGTTAAAACTAACTGCTGTTTCTGGATATTAATTCAAATCTTACCTCATAATGCATTAAATGATTGCTGGAATTAAAAATAGTTTCTGTAAAAATATAGTACGTCTTTATTTTATAGAGCAGTGTCAGGAATGAACCCACCTATGTCTTCTGTTTCTTTTGTTTGAAAATTTTCTGTGTCTTAAATTTCCAATTGTTTAGCCTCTTCTCTAAAATTAATTTATTGAATAAGTTAAAATTCTCTCTTAAATTTGAAACATTGATCAATACATGCACATATCATTTGACTTTTGACACTTATTGACAATTTCTTTCCCGAAAGATAGTGCCAATTTATACATTCTCCAAATTCACATGTGAATGGTGCCTGCTTTCTTTTCTGCATACTGTCCATCCCTGTGCAAGTATATTTGGTTTATAAATACTTACTGATTTTACAGGTAAAAATAATATATCATTTATTTGTTCATATTTATTTGACTAATTGTGACATAAAAGTCTTTAAGTAGGTTTTTATGCGATAAATATCCTTCCACAATCAACACAAAGAATGGATCCAAAGTTTGATTTAATTCTTTTCCTTGTCTGTGTGTGTCTGGAAATTTATAATTATTTATTTACATGTACTTTCTTTTCAAAAGATGGTAGACTTACAGACTGAGAGATGCATGATTATATTAAAATATAGAATTTACCAAATCTCTGCGATAGATGATTCATCTCTCCATTAATAACAGAATCCACTCAATAATACATCATTTATAGATGATACATGATAAACTTCACACCCACCTGATTTGAAATAGTGATTCATGTACTGTATTTTTGTTTATGTAAGATACTCATAATAAAATTCATACACATCTGATTTGAAATAAAGTGACTTATGCAACTTACATTTTTAATTCTTCACTAATAGATTTATATGTTAACCATTGGATGAGTATTACTCATTATATGGAAGATGCTGAAAATAAAAAATAGTTATATACACCTTAACAAGCACCTTAACAAATTCAAAACTAATTCAAAGTAGAAAATAAATGCTACATCCCTATTAAAAGAGGGTGAAGTTATTCTTCTGAAAAAGGGAAACTCTGTGGTCATAGATATTTAGACTTGCATTTTCTCCCTTTTTCTCCTCTTCAATAGTATATTTACATTCTTTTTAAAGATTATTTATGTGTTTGAGAGACAGAGAGAGAGAGAGACATTGCTCCCATGTGCTGGCTCACTCTCCAAATACCCACAACAGCTGAGCCAATACCAGAGCCAGAAGCAAGAAACTCAATCCAGGCTCCCACCTGGGCGGCCAGAACTCAACCCCTGAGCAATCACTGCTGCTTCCCAGAGTCTCCATGGAGGGGAAGCCGGTGCCAGGAGCTGATGCCAGGAGGCAAATCCAGGCACGCCAATGCAGATGCGAGCGTCTTAACTACTAGGCTAAAGGCTCTCTCCCCTTAATCCAAATGCAGCATGAATGTATTTCTCCTCTACATTTTTTGTTACAGAGACAGCAAAGATCAAAAGGAGCAACTTATCAAGATTGAGCCGGAGTAATCCAAGCCCTCTCAGAGCAAAAATGCCCAGGAATAAGCAAAACAAAAGTAAAGTAAACAAACAAACTGTAATTTACAGAGATCTTAAATTTTCCAAATCTCAACAGACACAAAGAATATTCAAGAGAGATGAGAGTACTGTCATATCAAATGAAGAGCGGGTAAATTACGTGGAACTGAAATTTCACAAAACATCTGACCCCCGCCACAGAAAATGCCTTGTTAGAAATCAAAGAAAAGGTACAGTATTATAATTTGTTATAAGGTAGATCTGGATCTTTGGTTTAAATGACTACCCTTCTCAAAATCATTATAAATTGTTACACGAATTATCTTTACAACAAATTTTGTAATTATTTCAGGAGACTACAATGGAATAAAATATCTCTACATAGTTCGTGTATTCCCTCTGAGGTATAATTAACCCAGAATGCAACAGATTTTATTACTTGTAGGAACTGTGTATTTAATTATCTGGAGATTGCATCAATTCTGTTTCTTTCCATACTTTAAAAAATATTTCTTGATGTTAACTTTCATTTCAATTTGGTCTAATTTAGTTTCACAAGTCTTCATTGAAATTTAACCATGGTTTGGTTCTAAATTTTCCATGGGACCTAGAAGGTGAATGAAGAATGTGCACTAGCTTCAAAGAACTAACATAATATTTTTCATAGGAAAAAAGAAATTATAGAAAAATAGGGGTACCGGCACCAGATGGGTGCCAGGTCCTAGTCCTGGCTGCTCCTCTTCCAGTCCAGCTCTCTGCTGTGGCCCGGGAAAGTAGTGGAGGATGGCCCAAGTATTCGGGCCCCTGCACCCTCATGGGAGACCAGGAGGAAGCACTTGGCTCCTGGCTTCGGATCGGTGCAGCACTGGCCAAAGTGGCCGTGGGGAGTGAACCAGCAGAAGGAAGACCTTTCTCTGTGTCTCTCTCTCACTGTCTATAACTCTACCTGTCAAATAAATTTAAAAAAAAAAATAGGGATATTTTGGAGGTAAAATTTGTAAAGCTTCATGTTTAATGGAAAAATAGATGTGATTCAACTAAGTAGTAATTATTCCCATAATTAGGAAAACAGGCTATCAACAATGATCAATCCAGTAAAAGTCAGAGCATATAAAGCATCTGAATGCTTCTTGATAGTTTAAGGGAAAATGTCTATACAGTATTGGACTTGAGAAGTTTGAGAGGTTAGATCTGCTGGAAAAGTTTGGGAAAGACACATGTGAAAATTAAGATTGCATTCTGAGGTCAGGGGAGTGAAAATTTCATGACAGAGAAAGGAGACATAGATGGGAACACAGGAAGATCCAAGGAAAATACATGTATATATATATTGCCAGAGAGAAGCAGCAAATAGCATATGCCAAATGAAGAATAGACAAGTAAAGTGCAAGTGGAAAATTATCCTTGTATTTGTCCCATTTCTCCACCTCCACTCCTTCCTTTGTCCTCTGAATTCCAGCCTGGCAAGAATTGCAGTTCCATGAAAACACCAATCTTGGTCTCAACTAATATCATTAGTGCCTCTCTGGGTGTCAGGCACTGTGCTCATACACCTCAAGAAGTCATGAAATCCTACTTTCCTTCAAAGATCAGAGAGGCATTTCCAGTTCAAGTTATCTCTAGGTTAAAACAAGGGAAACATGAATCTTTTTTTGTAAAATTTCGACATTTCTTTTTTTACTCAACTTTTAGAAAAATAGATACTGTTATTTCCCCCTTCAATAATATATTGATTGATTATTAGTAAATTAATGCTGTCACTCACATGGAATTTAGAAATCAATATTTTATTTGTACAGTATATTTTTATTTGCATGAAAATTTCTATTTCTGTAAACATACATAATTTGATTCAAGAACATTCAGAGTTAGTAATTTGTAGAATAGGTAAAAGATGCTGGGAAAGGTGTTTCAGATAATAGGTGAGAAAACTTCAAAAAAATCATATTAATGCAATTAAAAGATGAGTTTGTTCATTTGGGGTAGAAATTGAAATCTAGGTATACAGGAAGTGTTTAAAAATATGGAAAATGTAAATTATGACCCTAGGCATGGATTTCTCTTTTGTGTCAAATTATACTTATCTTTCAATTTGATTTTCTATAAAATTTAAAAAGTATTGTTGTATCCTGGACTTGAATTTGGATGGGTTGACGTGAGGTCAAGGAGTGAGACAATTTGAGGAGGAAAGACATATGGTTCCCAATATACCTCACAAATAGCTGTAGTCAGGATGACCACTTTCCAGGATTCAAAAACCTAAGGCTGCCTCTGAGAGTGAGACATCATGGTCTTCAATCTTGTATCTGCTGCCTTCTGAGAAGTGGTCCAACCAATCGTTCTTTCCTTTCCTGTTATTTTCAGAGCCCGGATCGGTAATATGGCCAGTGATAACTGGCATCCTGGGGGTCCTGTGTTTGGTCTTGATTACAGCCTTGGGTGTCTTGCTTGCAAACTGTAAGTAACCAAGGAAGTAGTTTGCCCTTATAACCAGCACATCAGCAAAATGATGTATATATATATATTTTTTTTTTCAGTATACTCAGTGAGTCACTATCAAGACTGATTTTCACATTGCTTTCATAATTGAATCCTAAGGTGTGCTAATTACTACTATAATTTTTGTTACAGTATTTTCTAGTAGAGAAGAGCAAAACAGAGAAATCTCACTTATTCCTACTCCACCTTCTACAAAGGATGGTGAGTATTAACTATGTCCAGGCCACTTACAATACTCTTTAAGATTTATTTATTTAATTGAAAGTCAGAATTACACAGAGATGAGAGGCAGAGAGAGAGAAAGAGAGAGGAAGAGAGAGAGAGAGGGAAATCAGTCAGTCTTCCATCTGCTGGTTCACTTCCCAGTTGGCCGCAACAGCTAGAGCTGTGCCAATGCAAAGCCAGGAGCCAGGAGCTTCTTCCTGGTCCCCACATGGGTGCAGGGGCCCAAGGACTTGGGCCATCTTCTATTTCCTTCCCAGGACACAGCAGAGAGCTGGATCGGAAGTGGAGCAGCCAGGACTCAAACTCAATTTATAATGCTTTTGAGAAGGGTAGTCATTTAAACCAAAGCACCCATATGAGATGCCAACACTGCAGATGGTGGCTTTACCCACTACGCCACAGAGCCGGCCCCATAATACTCTTGATTTAGGGTTAAAGATGATGTATTCCTCAAATTCACAAAATTTCATTGATTCACACATATTACAAATGTAATTTTATGATGTATCAATCCCTTGTCAGGAAAATACTGATATGAGAAAAACAATAGATGATGCAGCAGAATATGAAAATATTCATAGTACTATAAATAGAAGGTCCGTATTAAATTTTTGAATTTATTATTCTTAGGAGAAATTGAGATTGAAATATTTTAAACACCAGATGCAAACAACTCATGTTATCTTTCATTTATTCAACTAGTTTGAAAATAAAAATCAATCAAGTAGGAAATTGATCATGGGGAAATAAATTAAAATCCCAAGGAGTTACCATTTCACATGCACTTAAATGGTTAAAACTTGAAAGGACTGATTGCACCAATGGTAAGGAGGTGAAGGAAATGCTCCCAGCACACATACACATCCACGTCCACGCCTACACATTTAAACCAGAGAAATGGAAACATATGTCTACAACAGACTTGCCCACAGATGGATGCAGACACTTTATTCAAAATATTGCACGATGAAAGATTGAAAAATTATTTTTTGTCAAATAACAGAATATTACTCAGCAATAAAATAGCATGAGGTACACATATAACATGAACAAATTGAAAACATGCAGAGAGAAGGAAGTCAGTTGAAAAAGAGTTTATTATTGAAGCATTACACTTAGATGAGCTGTTTAAAAAGAAAAAATAACGCATGATGACATAAATTCCACCCATGTGTGCTTCATGTGAGGCGGTGGCTTGGGAGCATTAGTTGGGAAGGAACAGGAGTGAATTTTTGAGGTAACAGAAATATTCCAAATCTGAACTAGGAGAGTAGTTACACAGGCACGTTTGTTCATTCACGCTCACAAAATTGTATATTTCAAATTAGTCCATTCCTTCACAGGTAAATTATATCCCCAGTATGTTATCTTAAAAATAACACAGAACACTGTATTTAAAAATGGTTTGCTGTCTCTTCCTCCTCCCTTAGTCTTGCTCCCGAGGGGTAAATGTTCTTCTCTGTCCAACCTTCTCCTTACTACTTCCTTATATGAAAAAAATAAAATACATAATATATGTATTTATGCCACTATTTCTTGAGTTATTCATTTGAGATTGTGGGTCCTTTAGTTTTAATTGGTTAGGAAATAACACAATAACTCCTCCCACTGTGTCCCCAACATGCAATATGACCACATGAATATGTTTGCTTTCTGCCTCAAATCTGGAACACCTATGTTCAACTGCACAGAATTTCTTTTGCCAATTTTTCTATATTACGTGTCGTCCATGAGTTTTCATTTATTTCTTTATTTCTGCTTTAGTTGCCTGTCTAACTTTGAGAGTTACTAAATGCAGGACAAGCTCTCTCAGCCTTGGAGAAAGAGCTGGGAGGAGTCAGAGTTGCTACTCTAATCTGCTTACAGCTCAAGGCTCACCAGCTCAGGCAGCCGTATTTGCACATCAATGTACATCAATGAAGCACAGCTTCCCTTGGTCTCTTTCCTGGCTTCAAAGGCCTGGGTGGATACAATTTTTTTAGTTTTACTTTTGTACGTTTGTTTGTTTTTGTTTTTAGTTTTTAGTTGCGTTTTACATCTACATCTCTGATTTTTTAGAAAAGAAGAAAGTATGAAGGGCCAAAAACAGACATTTCAGTTTCAACAGTGAAGTTCTGACTCTAAAGCTACCTCTGCTTATGAATATTTTTTTTTTTTTGACAGGCAGAGTGGACAGTGAGAGAGAGAGACAGAGAGAAAGGTCTTCCTTTGCCGTTGGTTCACCCTCCAATGGCCGCCGCGGCCGGCGCACCTCGCTGATCCGATGGCAGGAGCCAGGTGCTTATCCTGGTCTCCCATGGGGTGCAGGGCCCAAGCACTTGGGCCATCCTCCACTGCACTCCTGGGCCACAGCAGAGAGCTGGCCTGGAAGAAGGGCAACCGGGACAGAATCTGGCGCCCCGACCGGGACTAGAACCCGGTGTGCCTGCGCCACAAGGCGGAGGATTAGCCTATTGAGCTGCGGCGCCAGCCATGAGTATTTTCAATCTTAATAACTTTACAGTCTGTGTTGAACAGCTGCAAGAGAGACAGAAGACGTAGCTTTCGTTTAACTTGAGTTTTAAATTAGATTATTCTAGGAGCAGGTAGAGCAGAGGGCACTCACATCCTGCATCAAAGTACTGCTTCAAGTCCCAGCTGCTCCACTTCTGATCCAGTCTCCTGCTGGAAGGCAGCAGAGGATGGCCTAATTACTTGTGTCCCTCCACCCATGGGCATACCTGGGTGGAGTTCAAGCCTTTTGGTTTTGGCCTGGCCCAGCCCCAACTCTTGCAGCCATTTGGAGAGGGACAAGTGGATGGGAGCTTGCTCTCTCTCTCTCTCTCCATCTCTCTCTCCTCCCTTCTCTCTGTCACTCTACCTTTCAAATAAATAAATGCATCTTTAGAATTATTGTATCTAGCTTAGAGAAGTTTAATAAAAAAAAAAACTTTTCTGTATTGGCTCCAATTCTAGTTGGAAATGAAGAACTCTCTATCATTTCATAGGCAGTATACCTACAACTGAAAGTCACATTTCCTGTGTGATCCTGGGTTGGTAGCCCCCGAGGCCACCACAGGGAAAGATTATCTAACACACACACACACACACACACACACACACGTCTAGGTTGCAACATCTTGTCCCATATAAAAATAACTTCCAATACTAAACTGCACCTGGGGGGGGTCAAAAATTCTGCTTAGCTGAAATAAGAATCATTAATTAGATGTTACTATATTCAAATATTAGAAGTATCAGGAAAGGAATAAAACCTAGCTGGTTTTCAAATGAACAAATGGATCAGAAGTGGCAGTGTAGGCATCCAGAAAGCTGATGGAGAAAATATCAGGCATATTTTAGAGAGGGACCAGAGAGTATGTGGCCCAGTGTTTTAACAAATCAGCTGAGGCAAAGACTAAAGTACAGACAGTTTATTTGGCAGAGCAAAATTCAAGGCAGTGAGAAGGAGTGGTGATACAGAGCCCAGAAACTTAATTAACAAAAATAATGTCTTGTGGTTCTGATTATTATTTTTGCTGTCAGGAGTCAGAAAGAAAAAAAAAACATTGCCAGTCCCTTAGCAAGTATTTTTTTCCTCCATATCAAATTGGTACGGTCTGCAGAACTCAAGAATTTGAGTACTCCAAGAATGATAAGAAAAGGAAGGGAAAAATAGCAACTGGCACAGTGAGAGTGGGAAAAAAGCATATGGACATCATTAAAGAAGAAACTCAAAGTATTATTTGAAAGATGAAGACAGGTGCAAGTTCACTAGAAACTAAAAATGTTTTTTATTATATTGGGAGAGTTTTTTAAAATAGGAAAATTTTAAAATGTTAGAGCTGAGGAGATTAAATGTAACAGGATGTTTGTTATGAAATTAATTGAAGTGGTAAAAAAATTAAAAGTTGGGGCTGGCGTTGTGGCACAGCAGGTTAAGCTGTCACCTGCAACACTGGAATCCATATAAGTACCTGTTTGAGTCCAGGTGGCTCTGCTTCTAATCCCGCTCCTGCTGATGCACCTGGAAAGTGGCAGAAGATGGCCCAAGTGCCTGGGCCCCTGCCACCCTGGTGGGAGACTCTGATGGAGTTCCAGTCTCCTGACTTGGTCTGGCTCAGCCCTGGCTGTTGCAGCCATTTGGGTAGTGAACCAACAGAGAGAGGATCAATATCTCAATCACTGTCTCTCTCTCTCTATCTCTCCCTCTATCATTGTACTTCTGCCTTTCAAATAAATAAATAAATCTTTAAAAATCACAAAAGTTAACAAGAAGTTTAGGAACATGAATAATGTATAATATGCATATGTAGGTTTATATAATACCTTATACAAGTAAAAGTATATGTCAGTATTATTGCTCTTCATCTACTTTCCTTGACATGCACATTATCTGCAAAAATAATGTTGATTGAAAAAGATATTACTATCTCAATACATTAATAAAATATAAATATATTCTATATCTCTGTAAGTATATATAGATATTGAAAAAAATTGATGAGATGGATATAAACCACCATTTCTTTTTTGTTTAAAGATTTATTTATTTATTTATTTGAAAAGTTACACAGAGAGGAGAGGCAGAGAGAGAGAGAGAACGAGAGAGAGGTCTTCCATCTGATGGTTCACTCCCCAGTTAGCTGCAACAGCCAGAGCTGCGCAAGATCCAAAGCCAGGAGCCAGGAGCCTCTTCAGAGTCTCCCATGCGGGTGCAGGGGACCCAGGACTTGGGCCATCTTCTACTGCTTTTCCAGGCCATAGCAGAGAGCTGGATCAGAAGTGGAGCAGCCAGGACTACCACAGCGCTGGCCCCTTACCAACCACCATTTCTCAAAAAGGAAAATGCAATCATTTTATGTAAAAAAAAATAGTACTTTTAACTGTGTTTTGATTATATAATTAGAAAGTATCCAAATTGTATATATCTATTACATAGTTGGAATATAAATATTTTAAAACACTTAATGAATTTTACACTATATATTAAAAGCATTGATAATAAAAATCTCCAACGTATATGGAATAATTCACTAATTTATTTTTCTGTTCATATGCTTCAATGGAGCCATTTAAATGTACATATATAATTTTAATCATGTCAAACACGATTATAATATTTTAAATGTATCTTCCTTATAACTTTATAACAATTTTTTAAAGATTTAGCCATTTATTTGAAAGGCAGAGTGACAGAGAGAAAAAGAAACAAAGAGAATTATATCTTTCATCTGGTGGTTCATTAAGTGGCCAAAACCGAAACGGATGGGCCAGGCTGAAGCCAGGAGCCCAGAATTCAATCTGAGTTTCCCAAGTGGATACAGGGGCCCAAGCACCGGGGCATCAATTGTTCCTTCCCAGGCACATCAGCAGGGAGCTGGACTGGAAGCAGAGTAGCTGGGACTTTGAGCGGCGCTCTGATAGTGATACCTGTGTCACAAGCAACAGCTTAACTCACTGTGCCACAATACCAGCCCCAGCAATTTTTAAATAGGAAAATTCAAAATAAATGAGCCAAATATGGGTAATTAGAAATTATCAATAGTGGTTGCATGTGTAAAGATTACTCAGAAGAATTTAAAAAATGCCTAAATGTTCCTATCTAATATCCATCTGTATTACAGACGCATCAGTTTAATAATAGTTGTCCTTATTAATATGTTGTATTTCCTAGACTGTTCCTGTAACCTTTCTTCAAACCACTGGATTGGGTTTGGAAACAGTTACTATCATGTTTTCAATAAGTCTACAACATGGCCAGAAAGCCAGGCTGCCTGTGTGGAGCTGAATGCCCATCTTCTGAAGATAGACAACAAGGAAGAGCAGGTGGGGCAGAATCTTCTGCTTGACTGCTGTTCTCAAACTGTTTTTGATTCAGTGTGTTTGTGATGTGCATCATAATTTAGTGAACCTTGAATGTTCTCAAAAGTGCATGATAGTTGCTTACTTTGACTTAGCATTCTTCAAGAAAAAGCTCTACCACTAGACTACTTAATTCCACAAGGAAGCCAATTTAACAAATGAGATACCTTGAGAAGGAGCCAATGAAGGCTAAGTGGCTGTGTGCAATCCCTTAGATCTTTTAATATTAACCCTTGAACAAAGCAGGGATAGATTGTAGACTACACACATCTCTGGCTGATGACTGCTTTCCCAACAGGAAATATTATCAGTGTTGGAAATGGAAGGATGGATAGGTCTCAGAATGAATGAGACAAATGGGTGCTGGTTCTGGGAAGATGGCACTGAAGTGACCCAAAGCCAGTAAGTACAGTGTTTGGAGAACAACTTTTCTGAGTGGGTTTTTTAGGTGACACCTTTGTAGAGCATGGAAAAAGTAATCAAGAAAAAGAAAAGAATCCAGGGTGTGTGAGGACCACTGTATGGGAAACATTGGGAAACAGTGGCCAGGTCCTTCTAGGCAATCTCATCATTAGGATATTTACATATTTACCTTACTGAATTCTTGAGAGAAACTTGTTTATAGGTTTAGATAAGTTTATACATCTATAAAACTCTATCATATGCTCATCATTTGTCATTTGATTCATAATTCTATTTAAAGAAACAGGATAGGAGTAAACACTGATTTTTCTGTTAAGTTTAATGTTTTGTTACTAAAGTTTTCGATCTTCAGAGTACATTGTGTTGTTCATGTTTTAATTTGCCTTATTTATTCATTTTTGGCTCTTATTTGTTCTGGTAAATTTGAAGAATGAGGTAAATTGGCATTCAAACATACCATCCATTGGTTTTTCAATATTATTGCTGTGCTTGTTTTTATACAGATTAATGCTTCACAAAGGGAAGAACCTTTTTTGTGCATATACGAGAGGAAATTATATTTATAATGATGATTGCTCCTCTAGAAAAAGTTATATATGTGAGTGTCATATACTCATATAGCACCTGTTGTTTGAACACGTTGCCATTAAATCTAATAAAATATCTAAAAAATATTTGTTATTTGTTTATTGGATAAAATCTTTGATTTATTATTCAATACTTTTACTGTACTCAACATATTTTACTTGAATTATTTGAACTTCCATTACATTGTGAGGGAGGCAAATTGGCTGTACATATGGATTGGGGGTATGTCTCCTCCTTATTGCACCTGTGTTATTATTTTTCATGAGCTGGAGCTGTGGCATAGGATAGTCCTCTGATTGCAGCACTGGCATCCAATATGGGTGTTGATTCATGTCCCAACTGCTCCTCTTCTGATCCGGCTCTCTCCCAAGTCCTGGGAAGGCAGTAGAAGATTGCCCAGGTGCTTAGGTTCCTGCACACACATGGCAGACATGGAAGAAGTTCTTGGCTCCTGGCTTCGGATCGGCCCATTTAGGGAGTGAACCAGCAAACAGAAGATCCCTCTCTATTTCTCCCTCTCTCTGTTATTCTGCCTCACAAATAAATAAATAAATCTTTAACAAATATTTTTCATTAATCAAGTTAGCCAGTGCTTCTATTCATTAAAAAACTTTACAAAACCCCAGCACTAAATTGATAAGGAAGGCTTCTGTATCAATTAGGTTTCTGGCATGAGACATCATTTTATGTTGTTCAAGCTTGTAATGAACGTACGACAGGTTTAATAGAAAAAAAGCAATTACAAATAAAATTTAAGACTAACAAAATTAGGATACTCATCCACTAGCAACAGTGAGAATCCATTACCAGTGCCAAGCATTGGCACTGTTACATTGAATGTTACATTGAAGCTGAAGAGCACTTCTCAATTCAGCTTTTGTGACCTCATGTTGGTGAGTTGAAATGGACCAAGGTTGCCTTGCACTAAGGCAATTCATGCAAATAATCTGGTACTTTCCCTCCTATTTCTCTATGCTGTCCATAGGCCAACTCTTCCATGTAGCCAGATAGCAAGGCAAGCTTGGGGAGCAGAGAAGCAAATGATGGAAAATCGATTAGAAGTGAAATGTTACTAACCAAGAACAGCCAACAGGTTCTACCTGGTTTTGCTACTTTGCAGGCATTGTTGCCCTTCATATAGAAACAACTTCTCTCATCTCCAATGGTAGGGAGCAACAAGGGTTCTTCAGCCAGCATTACAATGGAGTAATATTAGCTCAGTCAAGCCCCCACTTTCTCTTTAAACAAGATAGAAGAGAAAAGCTGGGGAAGCAGATACTGTGCATAGTCCCTGACTGTGTAACCAGTTATGAGACCAAACCTGATCATCATAATTTCCTTCTTCATTACCTATTCCGTGTTTCTTTTTCCTGCTTAGCTAAGTTATCTGTGATGTGAACCAGAATGTGTTGCCCACCATCAAAAACCCTACCTGCATAGTATTACCCTAGTTACCCATTGAATCTTATTGACCAAATGAGTACTAGAAAGTTCTGAGTGAATCACTTGTATTCCAGGCATGATTTTCTTTATTCACATTGTGTAGAAGCAGCCCAGTATCTACATGTTAATGAGTGCAATCACACAAACCTGACAGCAAGTCTTCTTTGATTCCTTGTTTACTGTCCTGAAGTTCAAAAGGCTAGAGGAAATCCATAAAGTGGCCTGGCCACATTGCCCAGGTTTTTAATGAGAGTGTCTTCTGCAATGGATTCACTGTAAAAGGAAACTATCAGTGAAAATCACAGGAAACTTTTAGAATTAAGGGAATCAAATTTAGAATGAAAACTTCTAATATTTCAAATATTTGAGGGAGAGTGTCTGCAAATGTTTCAAATGTTATTATAAAAATCTAACTTGTATGAAAATCCCAGAATCTCGACTCTCAGAAGTAATTCACATTCTTTTCTTATTCAAAGTCTACCCAACTTACTGAGATTATGCCATGACTCTGAAGAACATGCCACCCATTATTCACTGTGGTTAAATTAAGTGAAAAACAAAAGGATTTCTTTTTTTTTTTTTTTTTTTTTGACAGGCAGAGTGGACAGTGAGAGAGAGAGACAGAGAGAGAAAGGTCTTCCTTTGCCATTGGTTCACCCTCCAATGGCCGCCGCTGCAGCCGGCGCACCGCGCTGATCTGATGGCAGGAGCCAGGAGCCAGGTGCTTTTCCTGGTCTCCCATGGGGTGCAGGGCCCAAGCACCTGGGCCATCCTCCACTGCACTCCCTGGCCATAGCAGAGAGCTGGCCTGGAAGAGGGGCAACCGGGACAGAATCTGGCGCCCTGACCGGGACTAGAACCCGGTGTGCCGGCGCCGCCAGGTGGAGGATTAGCCTATTGAGCCACGGCGCCGGCTACAAAAGGATTTCTTGTTCTGACCATTGGACTGATTTTTGTTGTATGACTTCTTGCAAAGACAACTTTAAGTGCAATCTGATGCAGGAGATGTTCATTTAAAGACATTGATCCTATTTTAAACAATTATCTGTAAAGCAAGCTACTATTTATCCTATTCTCTTGTCCTAAGTCAATAAGATGATATTGCCTTTGAAGGAGGATATCATTGTCTGTGACACACTGGAGCCCATAACTGAATTTAGAGTTTCCATGCTATATCATTCACAAGACCTTAGATAACAATAAAAATTATTATATAGGGTTATGAGTCAGAAAATGTGACTTTGTTTCTAATAGCTGTTGTAGCCAATTGGCCATAAACTTGATGCTTTTAGCAATATAAATCTAATCTATTATTGCTATTTTTTTTTTGACAGGCAGAGTGGATAGTGAGAGAGAGAGACAGAGAGAAAGGTCTTCCTTTTTGCCATTGGTTCACCCTCCAATGGCCACCGCGGCCGGCACGCTGCGGCCAGCACACCACGCTGATCAGAAGCCAGGAGCCAGGTGCTTCTCCTGGTCTCCCATGGGGTGCAGGGCTCAAGTACTTGGGCCATCCTCCACTGCACTCCCTGGCCACAGCAGAGAGCTGGCCTGGAAGAGGGGCAACCGGGACAGAATCTGGCACCCTGACCCGGACTAGAACCCCGTGTGCCGGCGTCACAAGGCGGAGGATTAGCCTAGTGAGCCACGGCACCGCCTTATTGCTATTTTTTAAACATGATTTGATTCCCCAACTCTTGAGGAAATTTAAGTTCCAAAGTCATGGATTGTTGGTACCAACAGAATAGAGGCTTAATCTCATTATTGCATCTATTCTGTAGGCCTAGGGAAAGGTCCTAGGGTCATTGGGGGAATGTTTTCAGAATTTAATTCTCACTTGACAGCCAGTTATATAAGACTAAGTTGCATCCAGCTATTCTCTATGTGCTTCCTGGTTCACATTTTTTTGTTTGTTTGTTTGTTTTTGTTTTTGTTTTTTTGTTTTTTTTGACAGGCAGAGTGGACAGTGAGAGAGAGACAGAGAGAAAGGTCTTCCTTTTGCCGTTGGTTCACCCTCCAATGGCTGCCGCGGCCGGCGCGCTGCGGCCGGCGCACCGCGCTGATCTGATGGCAGGAGCCAGGAGCCAGGTGCTTTTCCTGGTCTCCCATGGGGTGCAGGGCCCAAGCACCTGGGCCATCCTCCACTGCACTCCCTGGCCACAGCAGAGAGCTGGCCTGGAAGAGGGGCAACCGGGACAGAATCTGGCACCCTGACCCGGACTAGAACCCCGTGTGCCGGCGTCACAAGGCGGAGGATTAGCCTAGTGAGCCACGGCACCGCCTTATTGCTATTTTTTAAACATGATTTGATTCCCCAACTCTTGAGGAAATTTAAGTTCCAAAGTCATGGATTGTTGGTACCAACAGAATAGAGGCTTAATCTCATTGTTGCATCTATTCTGTAGGCCTAGGGAAAGGTCCTAGGGTCATTGGGGGAATGTTTTCAGAATTTAATTCTCACTTGACAGCCAGTTATATAAGACTAAGTTGCATCCAGCTATTCTCTATGTGCTTCCTGGTTCACATTTGATCATTTCTCTGCCATTCCTTGGCCTAGCTGGACTGGCAAACTAATGCACCCGCCTGGATTTGGACTATGAACCTTAAAAACCATGAAAGAAAATAAACTGTTTCCTTTATCAGTTAACTACTCTCAACTATTTTAGTTTTAATAATGAAAATATGACTGATACAGTCACAGTTCTGGAGACCAGAAGTTCAGAATTTGTCATCACTGTACTAAAGTCAGAGTGATGACAGGGTCACAGTTCTTTCAGAGGTCCCAGGGTAGAATCTGCTCCCTGTGTCTCCCGGCATCTACAGGAAGCTTCCAGGATCCCTTGTGGTGGGGATGCATCACTTCAACATTCAAGACCAGCATCTTCAAATCTCTCTGTACTGTATCTTCATATCATTTGCTGTGTGAACTCTCCCTCCTTCTTCCTCTTAGAAGGATAGAAGTGATTGCCTCAGGCACCTCTTGGATATTCCATGATAATCTCCACATTTTAAGATTATTCTTAATTACTCAATCCTTTTTCACATAAGGTAATATTTAGTGTCCTGGTTTAGGACCTGATATCTTTGCATGGATTTTTTTTAGCATGCCACAGTAAC